CACATACTCACCCAGGGCTCGTAACAGGCTTTTTATATTTCGAAGATCTGATGTTGAAAACTGTCTTTCCCCAGATACAGATTCTAGTTCTGTAACTTTTTCATCACCCCAAACCCATGAAGCAGTAGCTCTCCATTTCTTCCTTACTTCAGGCCCTAACAACTTCTACTTTGCTTTATGAGTGTCCATATGGATTTGTGAGTTTGGGATATTCCTGTTCATGAAATCCTATAATCTATGACTGAGCTTGTTTTCAGGGTTCCTCCATGTTGTAGCAGGCATCAGGACCCTATTTCTCTTTACGACTAAACAACATTCCATTGTATGCTTATAGCACATTTTGTCCATTCATCTGTTGATGGACACTTGGGTTGTGTCCGCCTTTTGGCTATTGTGAATTATACGGCTATGAACAATATAGCCAACTACTTGTTTGAACGGTTCTTTTTGGGTATATATACCCATGAGTGGGATTGCTAGGCCATGTGATAATTCCTTTTTCAGGAACTGCCGAACTGTATTTCATAAGGGCAGCTCCTGTTTCCAGTTCCACCAGTTTTTGCAATAAATTCTAAAAGCTTTCCTTCTGCCCAGAGCTGTGTGGAAGAGGGCCTGCTGGAGAATAAATTCATCCTTGGTGCCTGCGAGATTCAGAGACGTCCCGAGGTCTCATGTCTGGTGTTGATGCCACACATACTCACCCAGGGCTCGTAACAGGCTTTTTATATTTCGAAGATCTGATGTTGAAAACTGTCTTTCCCCAGATACAGATTCTAGGGAAGAAAGGAAAACAGATGGTCATCCTGAACCTTCAGAGAGTGGACTCCTGATGTAGCAATTTTGGGGTGACCGCAGCTAACAGTGGAGTCCCTGGTTTTAACCGTAAGGTTGAAGGTTTGAGTTCACTAAAAGGTGCTTATGAAGGAAAGGTCTTATAATGTACTTCCAAAAAATTAGCCATTGGAAATCCTACTGTGTAGTTCTACTCTGACACACATGGGGTTGCCATTGGCTGTACGCAGGTATGAGAAGAGGGACCTGTCTGCATTCAGCACAGAGAAGCGAGTCCATGTCCTCTGAAGGACTGTGCCTGGAGCTGGCCGGAGAGGAGGCATGGCTGGCTGGGCTTGCTACTGGTCTCTCTGTGCCTTAAACCATCCGCTTTTGAAAGAGACACTGTGGGGCAAACACTGGTATGGAGCCAGTGCTGAATTCATTTGAAATTAACCTAAAGAAATCAGCCAAGTGTTCCAGAGTGCATTCAAAGCATGGTGGAGCAATTCATAATGGTGACTGGAATTGTGAGGGAGAATAGTAGCTCAACATCCTAGAAGCAAAATCTGCCCTCACACCTGGGATTTCAAAGACTGGAAGGTGGCAGGCAGACAGGGTTTCACCCCAGAATTTCAGACCTGGCCAGCCTTCCAATTGAATGATCTCATTTCTGCCTCCGGTACTTTTCTCCGTGGAGTTTTTTGCTGACTAGAGTTCTAAATATTGAAAGCTATAGTCTCCCTAGTCCTCACTAGGAACCTGAGCTAACAATGGGTTTTTAGAAAACAGTGTTTTTAGAAAATTCCAGGAAAACATACATGGTGTGAGAATCTGAAGTGAAATGTAACAAGACTTGTTATTGTTGTTAGGTGCTGTTGAGTCGGTTCCAACTCATAGTGACCCTGTGTCCAATGGAACAAAACCCTGGCTGACCCTGCACCACCATCAGTTTGTCAGTCCATCTCGTTGGGGGGCTTCCTCTTTTTTGCTGATTCTCTACTTTACTGAGCTTGATGTCCTTCTCCAGGGACTGGTCCCTCCTGATAAAATGTCCAAAGTAGAAGAGACAAAGTCTCATCATCTTCACTTCTAAGGAACATTCTGACTTTACTTCCTCCAAGACATATTTGGTTGTTTTGGAAGTCCATGATGCTTTTAATATTCTTCACCAACACCATAATTCAAATGGATCAAATTCTTCTCTGGGCTTATTTACTCATTGCCCAACAGGCTATTAAAAATATCATGGCTTGGGTCAAGTTCACCTTAGTCCTCAAAGTGGTATCTTTGCTCTTTAAGGAGGCCTTCTGCTGCAGATTTGCCTAATGCAATACATCATTTCATTTACTGACTGTGGTTTCCTTGACAAACTGACAGATGAGTTTTGAAATTAAAAGGTTAGGAAGTTCTAAAATGATGATTCTGACAGCAGTGGTAAATAAACTGTTAAATACCTTTAAGATTGCAAGAAGTCCTTCAGAAATTGTCCATTCATCTGTGAAATGTGGCAGATGCCACTAAACACCAGGTCGCTTTGCATCTGACTCCAGTTGATTCAGGGAGGGTGGGAGATTCTCCTGGGCCCCCGGAAATGTATACCATGCCCTGGCCTGTGATGGTGGACCCATATTCACACCTTTGTGCTTGCTTGTTTTCTGTCTCTTCTCAGTTCCTGGCCCAGTTGATGATATTTCTGATTAGTTTCATAAGCTCTGTGTTTTGTGGCCACTTGGGGAAGCTGGAGTTAGATGCCGTCACACTTGCAATCGCGGTATGTATTGAACATGCTAACGTTGATTCAAACTATGTGTAGTAGTTTTCTATTGCTGTCATAACAAATTACCACAAACTTAAGAAATCACAAATATATTGTTCTCAGGTGCCGTTGAGTTGGTTCCAACTCATAGAGACCCTAAGCACAACAGAACAAAACACTGCCCCATCCTGAGCCAACCTCATGATTGTTTGAGCCCTTTATTACTGCCACCATGCCAGTCCATCTCATTGGGGGGGTCTTCTTCTTTTTCTCTGCCCCTCAACTTTACCAAGCATAATGTCCTTCTCTATGGACTGGTCCCTCCTGATAATATGACTGAAGGACGAGTCTCACCATTCTGACTTCTAAGGAGCATTCTAGCTATACTTTTTCCAGCACAGATCTGTTTGTTTTCCTGGTGGTCCATGGTACCTTCACTATTCTCCTCCAACACCATAACTCAAATGCACCCATTCTTCTAGTCTTCCTTATTCATTGTCCAACTTTCACATGCACATAAGGCTATTGAAAATACTGGGGTCAGGTGTACCTTAGTCCTCAAACTGACATCTTTGCACTTCAACATTTTAAAAAGAGATCTCGTGCAGCAGATTTGCCTAACATGATACGTTGTTTGATTTCTTGACTGTTGCTTCCATGAGTGTTGATGGTTGATCTGAGCAAAATAAAGTCTTTGACAATTTCATCTTTTCTTCATTTATCATGACGTTATTTTATGGTCTAGTTGTGAGGAGTTTTGTCTTCTCTTCTTTACAATGAGATTCAATGTGAGGTCTAGCTGTGAGGATTTTTGTTTTCTTTACAGTGAGATTCAATCCATGCCAAAGGCTGTGGTCTTTGAACGTCATCAGTAAGGATTGCAAGTCATCTTCATTTTCAGCAAGCAAGTTTGTATCATCTGCATATCACAGGCTGTTAATGAGTCTTCTTCCAATCCTGATGCCACACTCCTCTTCATATAATCCAACTTCTCAGATATTTGTTCAGCATACAGATTGAATAAGTATGGTGAACGGCTACAACCCTGATGTACACCTTTCCTGATTTTAAGCTATTCAATGTTCCCCTTGTTCTGTTTGAATGACTGTTTCTTGGTCTTTGTACAGGTTCCACATGAGCACAACTAAGTATTCTGGGATACCCATTCTGCACAATATTATCCATAGCTTGTGTGATCCACACAGTTGAAAGCTTTTGCATAGTCAGTAAAACACAGGTAAACATCTTTCTGGTATTCTTTGCTTTCAGCCAAGATCCATCTGACATCTGCATTAATATGTTTTGTTCCATGTCTCAATCTGAATCTGGTTTAAACCTCTGGTAGTTCCCTGTCAGTGTACTGGTGCAGCTGTTTTTGAATTATCTTCAGCAAAAGTTTATTTGTGTGTGATATTAATTATATTATCCAATGATAATCCATGTTCCATTGGGTCATGTCTCTTTGGAATGGGCACAAATATGGCTCTCTTCCAGTCAATTGGCCAGAAAGCTGCCGTCCAAATTTCTTGGCATAAATGAGTTCGTGCCTCCAGTGCTACATCAGTTTGCTGAAAGATTACAATGTGTATTTCATTAATTCTCAGAGCCTTGTTTTTTCCCAATGCCTTCAGTGTAACTTAGATTCCATTCTTCAGAACCACTGGCTCTTGATCATATGCTACCTCTTGTACTTCTTGAACATTGACCATTTCCTATTGGGACAGTGACTCTGTGTATTCCTTCCATCTTTGTGTTCTTGTCTTCCCACAGCTCTTCTGGTCTTTGGTCATTTGTGTCTAATGCATCAAATCTGTTGTAGAGATGATCTCTAAATTCAGGTGGGATATGTTCAGGGTCATATGACTCTCGTGGACTTGTTTTAATTTCCTTCAGCTTCACTCTAAACTTGCATATGAGCAATTGATGGTCTATTCCACAGTCTGCCCTGGACTTGTTTTGGCTGATGATAGGAAGCTTTTCCATCATCTCTTCCCACAGATGTAGTTAATTTAATTTCTGTGCATTCTATCTGAAGAGGTCCATATGTATAAACATCTTTATGTTGTTTTAAAAAGATATTTTCAGGAAGCAGACTTATAGAATGTGTGCCCTTTGGTGATTTAAATTATTATGTATGCCTGAGTGTTTTTGTGTACATTAAAAAAAAAAAAGCCAACAGAGGGACTAGAAGCAAATACTGTTGAATGATGATGCAGAGATTGTAATCATTGCAATGAAACGAAATACGATGAGTGTAAAACCGATGTTCTCTCATTTTAGCTGTTACTCAATTCACAATAAAAGCCTTTTTTAAAAAACAAAAATTTTAAAAAGATATTTTCAATGAGTAAGTCACATGATAGAGTTTCAAAATTCTATCATGTCATCACCAACATCATTTCTATCACCAAGACCCTATTTTCCAACTACTGATCCTTCCTCATTTTTTCTAACCTTTACCTCCCTATCACTAGTAATTTTCAATATATTCTGATTGCTTGTTTGACCAATTTCAGATTGAAGAAGTTGGTAGTATTCTTTAATTTCCATCATCACTGACTTTAGTGTTTGGTGTGTAAATTTGTGGTATTAACTGGTCTTCTTTTTAGATGCTTAGTATTATTTTATAATTCTGGATGTCGGAGCCTGAAATGGGTCTTTCTCACTGGGCACGTTTCAAAATGTCTGCAAAGGTATATTCTTTTCAGGAGGCTCTAGACAAGACTCCTACTTCTTGCCTTTTCTAACTTCTAGAGGCTGCCCGCATTTTTGACTCATGACCCCTTTCTATCTTTAAAGCCAGCAATGGAAGGTCACATTGTTCTCACTTGGCATCACTGAGACACACAGTCTCTTCTGCCTCTCTCTTCCACTTCCAAGGGTTCTTGTGAGTATATTGGACCCACCTGGATAATCCAGGCAAATTTCTTCATCGCAAGGTCAGCTGATTAGCCATCTTAGTCCCATCTGCAACCTTAATTCTTCTTTGCCATGTAAACTATCATGTTTACAAGTTTGGGGGATTAGGAAGTGCACATGCTTAGGAAGCCATGATTCTGTCTACCACACCATCTAATTGATAATCCTTGAAGCTATGGCTTCGACTCTTGGCTTCACATCTGGGAGAAGGGACGAGTAAAAAGGAAGTTGAGTTCTGACTTCATTAGGAGAAAATCTAGCCCCCAACACCGTCCCCATTATCTGTCTTACTGAGAGCCCCTGATCTTGAAATGGAACTGGAAGATGAAATCTTAGATCCTAGTGTCCAAACCTAAAATTAGGAAGAACTCCCAGTGTCCTCGCTGTATCCCAGTAACCAAAGAGGTATGCCATTGATCACCAACAAGGATTATCCACTGGCCAAGTAACACCGAGGGACATAGCAACTCCTCCAGCTGCCGTCGAGTCAACTCCCACTCATGGTGACCCCAAGTGTGTCCGAGTGGAATTGCACTCCATTGGGTTTACGATGACTATGACCTTTTAGAAATAGATCACCAGACCTTTTTCTGTGGTGCTTCTGAGTGCCTGAGCCTTCAACTTTGGGGTTAGCAGCTGAGCATGTTAACCGTTTTCACCACCCTGAGGCTTCTTAGCCATTTGTTGTTGCTGTCATTATTAAGTGCCGTCGAGTCGGTTCCAACTCAGGGTGTTTCTGAAAACCTGTGGCTCTACACACAGGTGCATGCTCTACGTTCTCCCAGCTTCTTCCGGTCCCCTTTCCTTTTATCCTGCATGTATTCACGTGACCTCCCTGAGCTCTGCAGGCATTTGAGTTTGCCACCTTTGAACTGTGCAAAACTATTCTGTCAGCGTGTGTACAGGGTGCTTTATTTTGCTTTTGGGGAGCAACATGGACAACTGTAGGCTTAATTATCCTCTTTTAAATAATACTTGGAAAATGTGGAGAAAATAGAAATGCACTGAGTAAGCCTCAGGCAGATTCTGATTGGCCAAACATTTTCAGGGTGCAGTGAAGGCCTCTCAAAGCCGATGCTTCTGGTCTGGGCCCAGCTAGAGCTACAAGGCTCCAAACAGGGAGAGCATCAGCTGTTCTGATATGTTTGGGGGGTTTGGTTTGGGGGGCACTGCCCTAAGCTCCTCCAAGCTCCAGGAACCCCAAGGTTTTATTGAGGATCCTGGTTGAGGCAAGTATTCCTGCAAGGCCTATCGCACTAGTCTTAACATTTTGCTTCTACGCTTCCAGTATCCTTTGGGATTTTTTTAACAGGGCATATTAAGTCTGGAGCAAACTGACTTTTAACCTGAATTTGCTACTGTGCCACATTGGTGTGTTTTAAAAATTTGTCCACAAGAAGGGCTCACAGTTCCCTGAAATTGGGAAGCAAAGTGGCTAAGAGTTTTACAAAAAGAACGTCTGTGTAAAGCCTCTGGCCTTGATTTTGTAGGACAAGCACTGGACTGTGAAGCATTTCAAACCCACCAGGCTCCACAGAAACCCAGTACAGGGTTGCTGTAAGTTGGAATAGATTCAACAGCATGTAACAACAACCTTAAGCCGGGAGCCCCTGGGTGGGGCAGACAGTTGCTGAGCTGCTAACGGAAAGGTTGGAAGTTAGAGTCTACTTGCAGTTGCCTCAGAAGAAGGGCCTGGTGAACTACCTGTTAAAAAGCATCCATGGAAAATGCTGTGAGCAGACTCCTGTCGACTTCGAGATGAGAGAGAGAAGAGGAAGGGTTGGTTGGTCCAACGTTTGGGGAGACTTGGGAACTCCTGAGCCCATGGACACTGACCTAG